GAGGTTATGAACAGGTGGAGCTTTCCTTACCTCTTCCCCCTCCCCCTTTTTTCCTTTTCCTTTTTTCTTTCCCCTTTTTTGCGCTCTGATTCACATGTGACAATATATATATCCACCTGCAGAAGGTAGTAACTATTCTACCTCAGGAGGCTTTACTGTAAATGTCTTACAGTTAGCGTTCACGGTCGCCACCTTCTTATGCATCATGCGACGCCAGGCGATGACCTCAAGAACCATCCTCATATTTCTGCCTGTATTTGACACAGACCCGGGCATTATATGGCACTMATTCGTGCAGCTGCCCAGTGGGAACTGTGGGGTGGTGGGACGATGAGTCAGGTCATTTTCCACGTGAATGAATTTTTGTGAGCATTGTCGAATCATACTTTATTCTGGATTATTGACCGACTCTTGTGTGACACCTGTCGGGACAGAGACGCGGTGCGCCTTGGCTGTGGAATGCATCATCTACGCCATAGCCATTATCAATCTATTGCGACTGCGGCCGTCTGTTCTGAAGGGTGTCCAACATTTCCTCATTGTACACATCCCTATCACCCAGATATACGTTGTCCCTTTGTGCCAAGGACGCTATCAGAACTGTATGATGCCGCAGTGTGATGAATGTCCTGCTGTTTTTTTGACATGTGGACAACATGTCCTCTGTCAGGACTGTTTTGATGGGATGGTTCGTGCTAGCCGTCCTGCTGAATGCTGTGCTGGCACAGCTCTCCTTGGGCATCCTTGTGAACATCCACATCATCCTCACCGTAGCTGTCCCATCTTCCGAGGTGGGGACAGGTTAAGAAAAAAAGAAGAAAAGAAGAGAAAAAAAGAAAAAAAGAGAATAAGAAAAAAAGGAAAAAAGAAAAAAGAAGAAATATGTTGATCTGTGGGATGTGTTATTTGCTTTGTGACAATTGGATTATCTTTCTTTCCCTGTCAGGTTTGGTTTCCTCCTCCTTTTCTTTTCCTCTTTGCCTTTTGGCTGCGTGCAAGTGGGTCCTTGTGACACACGGGGATGGGGCCAGCCAGCGCTCAACCTGTCATCCACGTGGCTGGCCTTGTACGTAAGAGGTGATGAACAGGTGGGGCTTTCCTTCTTCTTTTCCTTTCCTTGTTTTGCGTTTTTCCGCCTTTGCGCTCTGATTTACAGTGTGACAATATATATATATGACGATATGTCGGGGCCGTTACTAGGCGGCCATGCTGTGCCTCTAGTGCCAGCGGCGTGTCTGGAGTGTATTTTTTGGCTGTGACAGACCTTTCTTTGTTTCGTGGATGTTTTGCTGGCTTGTGATRGGGTGTGAACCGACAGTCTGTAGAGTTTTCCATCTGGTGTGGGTGAGTGATAGTCTACTTTGATTTTGGTTAAGGTAGATTATCATTTACAGTGTAATCAGTGAGGGGATTCTGCAGACTGTTGAGGGTTCAGCCTCCTGATGAGTCGGTGAAASTCCGACGAAACAGTTTGTCACAGCCCCTCGTTTGTTGTCCTCTTCTCTCTCTCTGCCTACGGTTTACCGGGCAGTTCTGTTTGTGACGATATATACTACGACTTCGCTAGCTTCCTGCTATGGTTTTTCCGGTCAGGTCGAGCGGCAGTGGTCGGGGCCGTTACTAGGCGGCCATGCTGTGCCTCTAGTGCCAGYGGCGTGTCTGGAGTGTATTTTTTGGCTGTGACAGACCTTTCTTTGTTTCGTGGATGTTTTGCTGGCTTGTGATRGGGTGTGAACCGACAGTCTGTAGAGTTTTCCATCTGGTGTGGGTGAGTGATAGTCTACTTTGATTTTGGTTAAGGTAGATTATCATTTACAGTGTAATCAGTGAGGGGATTCTGCAGACTGTTGAGGGTTCAGCCTCCTGATGAGTCGGTGAAAGTCCGACGAAACAGTTTGTCACAGCCCCTCGTTTGTTGTCCTCTTCTCTCTCTCTTCCTACGGTTTACCGGGCAGTTCTGTTTGTGATGGTATATGTATTATATGTGTTATGTATGAGTCGGTGAAACTCGGACGAGACAGTTTGTCACAGCCCCTCGTCTGTTGCCCTCTTCTCCCTCCCTCTGTCCCTACGGTTTATGGGGCAGCTCTTTTTGACGATATGTATGGCTGTAACTAATTCTATTTGCCGTCCTTGGGGCTGCCCTTTTGGGAGATGCTGTTGGATGTTACAAGTGTGTTCCAGTGTGATGTCATTAATATGTCCCAACGCGAGCAGCGAATGTGATGACCACAAGGTCAGGCAGTGTTGAGTTGAGACCGGAGAAGAGTCGCTGGACCTACATGACCATTGAAGCTGTTCTTCTTTTTCCTTCCCTTTCCTCCTCATTTTCCTTCCTTTTCCTTCTCCTTCTTTTCCTTCCTTCTCCTTCGTTTACTTTTTTCTTTATTAAAGACCAGATAAAGTGGCGGAATCCGCTGAGCAGTAATTGGCAGAGAGGGATGGCACAAGCATTGTGAGAGGTGTCTTCATCATCATTATCATCATCATCTCATGAGGTCTACCTTCTCTGTTTGAGCTATCTATTGACTGATTTAGTTGTTTCATTCTTCTTCGTTGGCCTTCGATTCTTCTTCGTCCTTCTTCATTGTTTCTTCTTCTTCTTCTTCTTCTTCTTCATCATCTTCATTCGTCTTCCTCCTCCAATTATCATCATCATCGATGATCAAACATCACCCAGCATGGTCATCATTGCCACCTCATACCTCCCCACATTCTCCCCCCCCCCTCTTCCTCCACTAACCCTCTTCCCTCTTCTTCGTTAACCCCTCTTCCCCATTAACATCACCCGTCTTGCTTTTCAACCTCGCCGATCCATGGTCATCTTCACCCATTGTGCTTGTTGAGGTGGTGAGTATCTTGGGCCCGCTGTAGTCGCACACATCATCCATCAACTTTAAGAAATCTGAAGACCTTTTCGCCCTCTTTTAGAACAAACCCGCTGTTTTTAAGACGACTGAGAATAAAAATACGTCCTTTGGGACAGCTGCGAAAAGGATCGGAACGAGACAGAGAAGATTAATTAAGCCTGCCGCCTGCGCAATGATGACACGTACAAATCGAGGATATGGGAGCACGCTTAGGCAGAGAGTCCTAATCAGTTGTGTGGATTTGTTGCCACAGGGGAATCACTTACATGGCCAGGGGAAGTACAACGATGCTGCAGAGAAGTACCAGAGAGTAAGTTTATCTTGTCTTCTGCCTTCTTCCATTGAAGAATGTATGTGGGGAGAACATAATGGCAACAGAGAGGATGAGGATGAGGATGAGGAGGAGGGGAGAGAAAAAGAAGCTAGACTAAAAAGCTCTGGAAAATGGTGAAGAAAGGGCCGAGAGTCTAGGATTTTTTTATTTTATTTTTTTAATAATGGAAATGGAACGGACCAATGACTCTGAGAAGCGAATGATAAAGGAAAGAAGAGGAAGGGGAAATTTTGAAGGTTTGGACAAAATATAAATGCTGAAGAAATGGCCCAGGACTCGGGAAAAAGGAAAAGAAAAAGAAAAAGAAACGGCCAAGGATGAAAAGATGCAAATGATGAAGTAATGGGGGGGAGCTGTACTAAAGGTAAGAGTGCATTAACAATCGATCTCTCTGTTTTTTTTTTTGTTTGTTTGTTTGTTTTAATATTTTTTGGTCTCTCTTGCAAGGAACTAATCAATGGGGACACAAATTTTCCGAGCTGCAAAAGACTTGAAAGCAGGACAATGAGCAAAGTTGAAAGCTGAATTACAAAGCCGAGAGCACACCAAATGACAACACACTGACATTAAAGTCTCGTGGTAAAGAAAGCCCAACTTCTCACATCCAGTCAGCTCTACTATGATGTGACCGGCTGTATTACATCTGCTGCTCTCTCTTCACACATCCTATCGCCTAGCAATGAAGCAGTCTGCCACCGCGACTGTGCTCCTTGGCCATCACCAGGTAAGTCTACCTGTCCGCATCGCTGTCCTTCTCCCAGTCACCTCAACTCTGGCTCAGCCCCAGTGCAGCTATGGCTGGTGCTACCGGTAGGCAGAGCAACTACTGCTGCTGCTACTCAATGAGCACTGAACTGGCCACTGTGCGCTCCGATAGGGCTATCGCTGCCAGCCAGTACGTCCCAATGTGTGGAATGCCTCGGCCTCCTCTATCGAATGCCATGGCCGCCTCTCTTTTCTGTTTCTGGAGGCCGTGCTGGAAGCTTTTTGAGCACGGGATGGGTCTGTGCCTGGCCCCCAGCCTCTTGGGCTAGATCAGAGGTTGGACCCAGTGATTAGTTGGAAAGGCTGAGGTCCAGCCTTCTTCCCAACTGTGTCACACTGTCTTCGGTTAGGGCCGTCCAAATTTTGCAGTGTGGCCTTCACTTAGGGCCGGCCAAGTTCTGCAGTGCCAGGCTTCACTTCGGGCTGGGTTGATTTTCCATGGACGGCCCCTTTTTGGGAATGAAGCCTCACATTCTGTGCTGGAAGCTGCTTCGAAGGGCCTGGGCCACAGCCTCTCCGACTAACTGCGGCTGGGGTCCAGCTATCCTCTCAATATTTTTTCACGCTGGCCGTCATTTAGGGCTGGCCAATTTTTGCAGCCCCTGCTGTCACTTAGGGCTGGGCTCAGTTTCCACACTCCCTTTTTTTAATGTTGTCTGCTTTTCTTTGGCAGACAAACTTCCTATTGTCTTCATCACTTGTTTCATTGGCTGAATGAGTGGAGATAGGATGGAGACGTCTGAGGGAGTACTAGCAACATGACTTGCTAGCATGTATCTGACAACAACGATGGACAGATTCACGTGGGCCTATTGCGTGTGTCTGCCCCTGACACCACCACTACCTACTTCCGGACATGACCTGCTGGGCCTTGTATTTTCTACTCGACTGAATCTTGTGAGCAGTGCATCAATTCGGACATCTCTGCCGAATTGCTGTACACCAAAGCCTTTTTCCCGATATCTGCAGTTCTCTTCTCTGGCGATAGATGCAGGCGCGGAGTGTTTGCTCTGCCTATCCCTTCTGAGTGAAAATGAGAATGATGAGAGGATACGATGGAACCTTTGAGGCCAGGTACGGTGTTGTTTTTGGCACTCTTGTAGGGGAATCATGTCTGGATTCCAGACCCTAGACAGTGGATGATCTGGTTTGGACAATTTGCTTCGGATGGTGGCTGTGGTCCCGCGTATGCTTTTACAGATTCTTCCTTCTTGTTGTCATGTTTTTGTTGCCCAAGTCTTGGAATGTGCCAGATAGTAAACGTTTGAACTTCAAACTCACTGTTTTGTTCGTTTTGTTTGTTTTGTTCGGTTTGTTCGTTTTGTTTGTTTTGTCTCCCCAAATCCACGTGGATTTGTTTGTTTTGTTTGTTTTGTCTCCCCAAATATATATGCAGTGTGAATGTCTGTTTTGTCTCCCCAAGTTCAAATCCACGTGTTCACTGTTGAAAGTGATCTAAATTGGTGTCAGAGTGACTGCATGGGGTTTCATTCTGATGCGCATGGGAGTCGCGGGCAGTCTTTTTTATAACTACTCGTGGACTTAACAACAGTGGTATATTACTAACACTGGAGTGCTTGGGGGGCGGAGCGCACGGGGCATATCCGATGGAAGTTGAGAAGCGCAAGGAAGGGCCTTTGTATCGTCTGGTCAAAAAGCCAGATAACATTGTATGGAAAGCAATTGGAAAGCATAAATGGGAATTCAGCAGTTGCAAAATTGTTTTTTGTTTGGCGAGTTACCAACTTTCGGTTGAGGTTCACGCCTGAATTGGTTATGAAAGTAGAAAATTTGGAAAAAAGAAAATTTCTCACATCCATTTCAGCCCCTTTAGGCCCCTTCCAATGCCTTAAGCACCATGAGTACCCCTATCGATCTCCTAAGGTGACACACAGCATCACATTGGAAAATAAGTGCGGATTTGGGCACATCTCACTAGGCTGGGTAAGTGGGGTCAAGCCAATTTGTTAGCTTAGTTTTTTGACATTTTTGTGGCAAAAAAAAAGTGATGGTGGTTTCACTACGGTGGTCGGAAATGAGCAATTGATTGTCCTTTTCTGAGCTTCCCACTATGCGCTTAATTGAAGTTAATTCCTTGCGGTGAGCAAAAAGTTTTGATTGTCGTTTTTCTCAACTCTTTGTTCATTGCAGGCAAAGAAGAACTTGTCAAGTCACAGTCATAAAGATTCTGTCTCTCTGAGGACAGTCTGCTCTGTGAACCTCATTTCTTGCTATCTTAAATCGAAGCAGTACGAGGCGGCCATCAGTGAAGGCACAGAGGTGTGGTTCGGATGATCTGAAACGATTTCAACAGCGCTAAACACCTAGCTCAGCTCTCCCTACTCTGTTTTTTGATTCGTCTTGGTGGAAAAAGCGGTTTTTGGTGGGGGGGGGAGGGGGGGAGGGGGAGGGGAGAGCAGGTTTCTCACTGGCAACTCTTTTAAAGAGTGACTATGGCTCTGTGTCTGTTGTCCTTTGTTTGATATGCGAGGTTCTTTTCATTGCCGTGATGAAGAGTATGGCCTTGCCATGTCTGCCGCTGATGGCTAACAATACATGCACAGGTGGATGTGGAGAACATGGGCAGGTTAGGCCTGCCGGATGCAAGGGGGGTTTGGTTGATGGTTTGGAGGGGGGGAGATGGTGTTACAAAGTTTTGAGAGGCCCGGAGTTTTGAGATGATTAACTCGCATCTTCCTTTGACAAAGAAATCTCCCAAAAGATTGCGGATGACAGGTTCCAATGTGTTATGGAAAGACATAACTTAGAATCATGAAAAAAAGAGCTTTTTCCTGCCGTTTTTATTGGGGGAGGAGGGGGGGGGGGGGGGGGGGGGGGGGGGGGGGGGGGAAGGAGAGGTAGGAAGCCAAATGCATATGGTTTCCACTTCTTGTTGTGAGGCGACCACACCATTCAGGCATGGAAGGCGAGAGTTGGTATAAACACGTGGTCAAGCTCAGTTGGTTGAGCACGTAAGTGGTATTCGGGACGTTGTGGGTTCGACTCCCTACGTCGTCCATTTGATCCCCCACGGCCCCCTGCAATACGCTTTGGGTTTACCAGTTGAGATAATTGGCTTGGGCCTCCTGGCTGGTTGTGGAAGCATGAAGGACTTTCCAGCTCATGCCAGGTGTTAGGAGCTGGGCTGCTGCTCCCCGCATAGAGCAGAATAGGCTGGGAAAACTCAACCCATAACCCTTGGCGTCCGTACGAAATCAGATGGACATATGAAATCAGGGGGACATGTAGGTAGGTAGCTAGAGTGAGATATTCAAGTGAAGAATATAGATTAGTTAAAAAAAAAAAAGTAGGTCTAGGGGTGGTGATGGTTTAGTCCAGGAGTCCGTGACGGTTTTCTTGCTCTGTCACCTCTGTGTGATTTTGTGAACTTTGATCTCTGCGTAAGTGGATAGCACTCTCTCTTTTCATGTGCATCCAGGGCCAGGCCTCACCTGTACATACTATACAGCTGGAGAAATTGGGAACTTGGTCGTAGAATTGGTCACATTCGTGCTTTCTTGGCACATAGCAGTGGTGGGGTCTGCCAAACCCTTCTTCAGTCTTTGCTTTCTTGGCACATAGCATTGGTGGGTCTGTCAAACCCCTCTTCAGCCTGTTAAGATGGGGTAAAACTAAAGGGAAGGAGGGAGAAAGGAGAGAGGAGGTGTGTGTGTGTGTGTGTGAGAGAGAGAGAGAGAGAGAGAGAGAGAGAGAGGGAGAGAGAGGTGGTTTGAGTTAAATAGAGTGGTTCCAACTCTGAAAACTGGAAGACGAATTGCACCTCTTGTCTCGATGGGAAGGCATGTGCATTGTAACTCCAGCTGCTGTTTTTGAAATGAAGAAATGCGGCTGATTATTCTGAGGCAAACTGAAGTGAAAAACATTTGCACTGCTTTCTCTTGACGAGCGTAATCCAGTGCAGTGTAGTGTTTATGCCAGTCTTACTATCTGCATCATCGCATCTGGAAGTCTCAGCTTGCCACCCAATTTTTGTGAATTTGGTGCCAAGGCAGCTATAAGCAATAGTGCTGAAATCGAATGGAAGGTAGGTTTTCTGGGTGAACTTAGGAGTAGGGATATAGCTGCTGCAGGGTTGGTACTTAATCTGGATCTGGGTCTCGGTTTGTATTGCTAGCCAATTCCAGTTAATAATTAGCCCCTCAGGATTTATCTTGATAGGCAGACTGTGATCCAATATCCTTCGCTGTTCATGTTTCCTTTTTAGGAAAAAAAGAGAGTATGGTCATGCGGTGAAAGGATATCATGCTCGTGGCAGGAGTTCAAGACCTGACCCTGTGTCCTGCCTGCTGGAATGAGCATGAGGAATGATAGTGCACAAATTGGGATGGGGAGGCATGAGTACACCAGACACAGGCACGAAAATGTTTGAAGAAAAGTGATATGGATAGGCACCTGGATGTGCAGCCGGTCATCCTGATGTCGTTTATATTGAAGCTCTTCATTTTTTTTCTAATTTTTTTTCCCTTCTTTTTTTCTTTTCAAAAATTGATAGTTCCTGGAAGGAATTGAAAAAAATCCATATTAAATCGATTTGGAGGGTTCTGGACAAGTATAAAGATGTACAGTATCTGGATGCCAGACATCAGACTGTTACATAGTCCAATGAGTATGGGCAGAACCAAGAATCAACCAATGTAGGATGAGTATAGATGCAACGGAAGTCTGGTAAACGAACTGACTCACATAGACTGACTCCCATAGCATCACTCCACACACATACAATCGTGAGATGGTGGGGTCTGAGCCATACAAAGAAGGTGCTCAGCCCCGTACACAACATACACAGATGAATGGGGGAGGAGAGATGAAGGAGGTGGGGTAGGTAGACAGCACTGAAAGTCACCGAGATAGAATCTGATAGGTCACCGATATGGTAGTCCAGAATGTCAATAAGGTCAAAATGTCGAGGACAATAGGTCACCAATGTCGGAGGTACAGCGTCCAAATGTAACTGGTGTCCGATGGAGCCGAGTATCAACCCCAACAATCTCCAAGTCTCCAATCAGGTAAGTACCACAGTCTCATATCACCGAAGTTCAACTCTGATCTCTGGCCAAAGTACAAGTATCCAATCCGAAGAAGAAGAAGAAGAAGAAGAAAAAGAAGAAGGAGGGAGCCGAGGAGGAGAGGGAGAGAGAGGGGACCGGCGATGGGAGGGAGGAGAGAAACCTCCAACTCCCGGTACCTCAGGCGGTTATGGCCGCTGGTAACCCAGTCACCGCTGCTGCTGCTCCGCTCGCTGCTGCTACGCTTGCTGCTGCTGCGCTAATCGCTGCGCTGCCTGCTCCTCGCCCCTGCGCTAAACATAGCGCTCCAACGGCACTTTGGTGCCGACCTTACCGCACCGTAGTATACCGGTGGGTCGATCCCCTGAGTGAGGCCGGRCCGGTTCTTTATACCGGTGGGCAGAGGCCGGCCTCACTGCTGCGAGGCCTGGCTGTGCCCTGAACCGTCCAGATGGACGGTTCAGCCCCAACCGGCGGGCGGCAGCCTCAAGAGCGCCGCCAGGCCCAAATGGTAATGTCGTTTGGGCCTGCCCGTCGGGTCTGGTCCAAGGTGAGGACTTTATGGTCTGTAGTACCCCAAGGTCGGGCCTTTAGGCCCTGATGTGTCCCTCTAGCGCTAAGTCGTGTCCGGTAGGACCCGTGTGGCGTCGAAGATGTAACATGTCCAGATGGCTGTCCTGATGCCGTCATTGTGAGTACTCTGGAAGTAATGATGTGTGAATTTGTTCAATTTATACTGTGAAGTTTGAACATAACTGTTGTCTCTTGGCAGTTAACCCTGAGATTAGGCAGGTCGGTACCTGTGCTCTGAGCTGAAATGCCAACTGCCCTACCCAGAACGTGTACAACTTGAAAAAAAAAAAAAAGAAGAAGAAGAAAAAAATAAGTATAATGGCCGTTGTTCACCCATCTGTTCACCACCCTGTCCGGGTCACAGTGTGCCAGAGCCTTAGGCCTTTTGAATTTGTGGGAGATGTACGCGAGTATCATAGCTTTGATGAAAAGCTTATCCGTGCCTTTCCCAGGGAGCTGCTCCTTATGTGGTTATCCTACTTATCTGCGTAAGCTGAATTGAGGAAAAGAAGAAAAAGACTGTTCTGTAATCTTGGTCTGTGTCAAACATGTGGGTTGTTGGAAAAATATCATGTCCCGATGAAAGCTTTTTTCTATGCCCTTACCGTGGAACAGACTGCTCTTCCGGTAGTTCTTTGGTGTTCGGCAGATCTGTCTGTTCAACGAATTATCTGAATGATATGTGCGAAGTTGGTAGGGACATCACGATGAGTGATCCACAAGCTGAAATGTAATTAGCAGGGAATAGATAGGTACACGTGTTTTCAGAAACAAAGTTGGTTCTCGGCAAGCTGTATAACACTACTACCGGTAGTGTCTCCAGAACATGTTTCACAGGTCAATCAGGTTTTAACTTTCAGAGTCTTACTGGTGGAGCTCTTCCTTGGAGGAGCTCGGCCGAAAAAAAATGGAGGAGGTGCATCTGCGTAGTTCCACATAAGCAGTGAGTTGAAACTTCACAGTAGTGCATCTGCATTTGCATGGAGGTGGAGGAGTCTTTTGAGCTGTGCAAGGACAGAGGTGGTAAGAACTGTCGATGTCTCAGTGTTGCTTTCCTTGATAAACTGTACTCTCTCTCTCTCTCTCCTATACCCTTCTCTTTATGCCACCTTTCAACATTCCAGCTCCATAGACCAGATTCTGCTCGTTGCTTAATTGGATTTCGCTGGGGTCTAGCTTAGTTGGTACACCCGATGGACTGGTGGAATGCAGACCCAAGTTCGAATCCTGATGGAACCAGAGGAACAGAACAAGATGATTCTGAATTACCTCTGGCCGGTTGGTTCAATGATGATGTTAATGGATGTCGCCCTTAGAATAAAGAAGAATCGTATGGTACGAATGGGGTCGACTTACTTGTTTCTCTCTGTTGCTTCTTGCCTGAAGCAGGTACTTCGGTCAGACCCAAAGAATCTGAAGGCGTTATATCGGAGAGGTCTGGCGTACAAGGAGGCTGGGAAATTGGAGGTGTGTGTGCTGTGCTTCCGCGTAACTGACTCCCACATTCAATTCATTTTTTGGGGATGGTAAAAACAATTTTTGAACAGGGGTTGCGATTGTGCACTGCTGGGACTACACTGGTGTCAGAGTGCATAGTAGGGGAATGTGTATATATGGGAGATTCAGCCAGACAGATGGGTGTCTTGGGGAGGTGATGACAGCCCTGCAGTCTGTCGCAGCCCTGTTTCTTTTGTCGCCTTGTTATGAGCACATAGTCACTGTTCTTGCTCTTTTTTTTGCCCCTGCCACTGCTTAGAGGAAGATCCGAAAAGTTAAAATTGGAACGGTACAGAGAAGATTAGCATGGCCCCTGCGCATTTAAATATAAAAAAAAGATCGGAAAAGTTGAGGAGGAAAATGACAAGGAACAGACGGGGTGTACGTTGACAAGAATGATCGAGAAGGAAGAAGAGGGAAAAGAGTGGAAGGGGGGAGAAGGGGAAGGAGGAGGGAGTGAAGAAAGAGGAAGAGAAGAAATCATGATGACTATGAGCAAGTCGAGAGGAGCACACGGGAAGGAGAGCAGGGGTGGAGGCGGAGGTGGAGGAGGAGGCAGCTGTGAAACTTGAGGTTTGTGATGACAAATTAGGCATGCCAAGATCGTTTCTGAAAAAAGAAGGAAGCGAAGATGAGGTGCAGAATAGTTTGAAGAGTAGGGCAAGGACTAAGAAGAGGAGGAGGGGAACATGGAAGGAAGCAACCCACCAATTGCGACTCTGATAAATGAAGAGGAAGATGTCTTCGAAGGGCATTTCACAGTCCTGTTCCAAACGCCCTGCCAACCCTGGTCTTAAACCGCCAGTACTTTCCCAGCCAAGTTGAGGATCGATATTGGATCAATCTGAAGATCTAGGATGGACGTTGCTGCCGGGCCAAAATGGCGGGTGGCACCAGCCACAAAAAAGAAAAAAGTGCGCTGCTGGCAGCTCGTTTCTCTTTGCATGCAGTGCAAAAAATCCGTGTCAGGAAAAGGAAGCTCGGAGGTACTGGCGGTTTGAAGAAACACAGAAAAGGGAAGAAACACACAGGAACGCTCGCACCTCCTTCTCACTGCCACCACCTCTTCCCCCACCCTCAAGCCATCCTTCCCCTGATTGCGTCACCTCATCTCCAATGGCAGTTCTTCTCCACACTTGTGATGCTCTTAATCTCCTGTGCCTCTTCAGTCTGTTGCTAGAGAATCAGAATGATGGTGGAACTGCATGTTCCCGTTCTTGCTCTCTTCCACCTCTATCTCCACCCCCACGTCCTCGCTTTCCAATGTAAGATCCCCCTCTAGTCTTGGCGTCTAGTCCTTGGTTGTTGACCTTGGCATTTTTACCAAGTACAGTTTTTTGTGTGGTCTGTTTTTCTTTTAACAACCAGTGGGCATCTGCCTGCTCAACATTTATCATTGTTGATGACAATGCTATCAGGGATACATGCTCCCTTTTCGAAGAGAAAGAAATTGGGCTTCCCCGTCAGTCTGCCCCACCTCCAGCACCTCGTGCATTCTCTTTACCTGTCCGGCTCAAAACAAAGTCAAAAAACTTTTAGCTGAGGACACGGCAATAGAGGGTATTTCTCGAGCATGAGGATCCCCTCCCCCTTCCAGTCATGATCCTTTCTCGAAACCTTCTTCTTGGCATGTGAATATCGTATTAGGACAGACGGAGAAACAACATCACGAAGCACTACAGCCTATAGGTGATGCCGGCGAGATCCAGTCGAATGATTGTTTTACTGGAAGTCAGAGGACTCGTAGTACTGATGAGGGTGAAAAGGGCTTACTTTGTGTGTGTGCGCACAACATTCTGTGTGTATGTGTGTGTTTGCGCGTGTGTGTGCGTGTGCATGTGTGTGTGTGCTTGTGCTTGTGCGTGCACATGCAGGTCTGCGCATGAGTGTGTGTGTGTGTGTGGGGGGGGGTGTCTGTGCATGTATGTGTGCGGGGGGTTGTGCATGGTGCATCTGTGCGTGTCAATGTGTTTGCGGTTGTGCATGGTGTGTGTGTCTTCGTGTCCGAGAGTGTGCGCGCCGGTGTGCAAGTGTGTGTGTGCCTGGTATGTGTGTATGTCCATGTGTGTTTGTCGAGGTGCGCGTGAATGCCTGTGTTTGCATGTGCGTGTGTGTATGTGTGTGTGTGCGCGCGCTAGAGTGCATCTGTGCTTGTCCATGCGTTTGCGGTTGTGCATGGTGTGTGTGTCTGCATGTGCTAGAGTGTGCAAGCAGGTGTGCAAAGTGTGTGTGTGCCTGCTGTGTGTGTATGTGCACGTGTGTTTGTCGGGGTGCACGTGAATGCCTGTGTTTGCACGTGCATGTGCATGTGTGTGTGTGTGCTTACGCGCTAGAGAGAGAGAGAGAGAGAGAGAGAGAGAGAGAGAGAGAGAGAGAGAGAGAGAGAGAGAGAGCCATCTCGTTGTCAATATTCTGTCCTTTTCGTTGAAAGACTTTGTGCTCAATGTTAAATGGTGTTAGAGGGAAATGCCTACAAGAAACAGCGATTTCGTCAAAACGGACATTTTTTATTTTTTGCACGAAATTGGAAGTCCAGACTGCGTCTCTGGACCCCGGCTGAATCCAGATATATCGAGGGGGTAACGCCCTACCCAAAATTTCATCAAATTTTGGCCGCAGTCTGGACTTTCAATTTCGTACAAAAAATAAAAAAATGTCCGTTTTGAAGAAATCGCTGTTAAGAAAGAAAGGAAGTCGGTAAAGCAGTAACCTCTCAGTTGTCTTTCCCCTCAGCGTTTCATTCATTCAATCGAGTCACAGGTCGTCTTGAGCGGGGAATACATGAATAATGTTTTGATGTCAAATGGGAATATGGTGTGATGTTACATGCTGCGCCTGCACACGAGGGCCATTTTCCAGGCTCTGCGTCCCTCAGGCTGAAAGCCTGGAAACCAGGGCCTACAGGCCCCGTGTCTGTTCAGCTCGAAAGCCTGAAAAACAGGGGCCTACAGACCCTGTGTCGTTTTAATCTAAAAATGGCAGTAGCCTTTTTAGCCTGAAACGAAGGGCCATTTTCGGTCTGTCATCAGACCGATCTGCCCTGAAACTCAGGCACCAAACCAGGGTTTTAGGAACAGGCTATTTTTGGCCTGTTCCCACGGCAGCTGCAGCGTCAGCCCCTGGCTTGGTTGGGCGTTGGCAAGAGCAGTCTCCTGGACTGCCCGCCCTGCAACTGCAGGCAGTCGGAGGCAGTCAGGAGGCAGGCCGAGGTAGTACATAGGGACTTCCCATGCACTTCACGGGGAGGCAGGAGGCAGTCAGTAGTCTTCAGGATTCGTCAGCAGCACTCTGGAGGAGCGCTACGGGAGTAGTAGTAGCGGTAGTTGTAGTCTTCAGCGCTGGGCGCCATAGCTAGAGTAGCACTAGAGAGAGAGAGATTGGGCGGAGCCCAGGGATACTTACCTGCAGCGCCGTTGCTCCAGCTTCGTCTTCGAGGTACCTGCAGCACAGCGCCATCTTCACAGGTTAGTACCTGGCATACAAGAGAGAGAGCGAGAGTTCTTCTTTTTCCTCTTCTCAGTCCACCATCTTCTTCTCACCCTCTCGCTATCTGACTTCACTGCATCAGCAGACTACGAGGGAGAGAGGGTGAGAGAGAGAGAGAGAGAGAGAGAGAGAGAGAGAGAGAGAGAGAGAGAGAGAGAGCTTGGTGACATTGGATCCAGACTCGACATGGGACTTCAGACATTTTGAAGAGGGATTATTTGGGACTTGTAACGAGACTTGGTGTTGACGACTTCCCCATCTCCCCCTTCCTCTTCTTTGTCTGATCCTTTCCTCTTCGTCTGTGTATGTCTGGACCTGGCGCTTCTTTCTTGTGTATAGCGCCAGGCCCCCTTCACGCTTTGTGATGAGCATGATGTATGTTTGGTCTGCGTTGAAACATTGATTGGGCTAGTCCTTAGTATTCTAGCACTCTGCTTCGCTATCTTGTGCTACGTGAAAGGGGTCAGTCCCGGTCAGGTCAGAATTTGTATCTAAGTCTTCCCTGCGATATAAAGCACCATTTTATATGTATCGGAATGCACATTGCTTGTTGAGATTCTACTTGCACTGCATTGTCCATTCAGTCCTTTTTATCACATTGCGGATCCTCGGTTTATATGTACATCGCCCAACTGGGCATGTAACATGTGATGTGTGTGCTCGTGCAGTTGGCTGCTGCAGATCTGCAGGCGGCTGCTGAACTAGATCCAACGGATGAAACCATCGAAGGGGCACTCAGGTATGACCATCTTATCTTTACCTCTCACTCGTCGTCTCGTGCCTTTAAGAGCCTCAGGGCATACTCTAGAGCCCTCCTTTGTCTACTCCACCTTCCTTCTGCTTTAGTACGGCAACTGACTACGGTGGGACATCCAAGGCCACCTCAGATGTTCAAAGGACAATGGGAATGCTCTCTTGCCTCCTCTGTCATCTACCACCAAGCCTGTTCTCCCGAATGAAGTCCATGCCCAACCAGTACCCCTTCAGGGGCCTTCTTTCTGCAGTCTGACCTTGGAGATAAAGATAGAAGTCCACCATAGCCAAAGCTGAATTTTCTTCCCGGTTCTCACCTTCTTCCTTTTTCTTCACCTTTACTGCACCATAGCCCAGCTAGAGGTCCTTCTCGCTCCTATCTCCATAGCCTGCAACTACTTCTGCCTCTCCCTACTACACCTCTGTAGCCATGGGGGTCTTCTCCATCACCCTTCAGCTCCACCTTCAACCTCCAGGAGCTCACCATGTCTGCCTCTTGTCGGAGCAACAGCATGACTGCCGGGTGAAAGGGCCGACTGTTCATTGGAACGTATGATATCCTTTGGCTGCCCAGTCTCCGGTACCTCTTGGCCAGGCACCTCTACCCGACCTCCCTTGGGTGCAGTAGGCCTACCGCATGTTCCTGCTTTTGTGGGGAAGGTCATTGGAGATTGATATCTGCCAACAGACCCTGAATCTAGACTTTTATCGGTCCACATTCAGGGTCTGGACCATCATTACCTCTATTGGACATCTACCGGATCCTTTCAGGCCCAACTGACTGGCTGGAAATCCCCTTTCGGGCCTTTATCGAAGTCTACTTGTATCCCTGGCCACTACACTACCTCGAATGTGTCCCTACCGCTAACTTTCTGCCCTTTCCCTCCCCGTTCTCCAATTACTGCTTTGTCCCTGTCTAAGGCGCAGTCACACAACACGGCCAACAGAGTTTGCTCAAGGCAAGCACGTGTCACACATGCATCAGTAGTAGATCACATACACTTATTAAACACAGTCCTGCGACTGGTGTTCCTTGCTCCTCCTACTCCTCCTACTCCTACTCCTTCTCTACTACTACTACTACTCCCACTCCTACTCCTACTCCTACTCCTACTCCTCCTACTCCTACTCCTCCTACTCCTACTCCTCCTTCTACTCCTACTCCTGCTACTCCTACTTGTACTCCTGCTCCTACTCCTGCACCTACTGCTCCTACTCCTGGTCCTACTCCTACTCCAACTCCTTGGTTGCAATCCAGCAGGGATCTCGTCACAGTAGAGCATGCTTGGAATCGGAATTCTCAGAAACCAAAACTTGGGCTCAGGCAAGCACACGGCACACATGAAGGACAGCATTTTCTCAGAAATTGCAGAGATCACGGACACCATTTGCGAGGGTCATTGCATCTCTTTTCTTCCCTCTTTTCGAAGTGTTAAGTACGGCTAACTGTCATAGATATAAAGTGCCATGACTGGTTGGCTTTTCCACTGGCTCAGTCTGGCTGGAAAAAAGGAGCTAACAGTAGAACGGTTCTGCAGTGTACTGTTCAGGATTCACAGCCCCTCTGCAAGCTGTGAGTGCTAAGATGGCCTAAGATGCCCACCAGGAGGAAGAATAATGAGGATCCGTATGTATTTCCTTCAACCACATGGGTTGGGTGCATTCAGGTTTTTCAACTGGCCAGCCACTGGCCTTTCTTGTTTTTTTGGACATACCTGCGATTCCGGCAAACTCAGTCTGGACAGGCCTTTCCCCACAATCAATGATCCTCTTGCAACATGACCCTTGCCAATCAGGTGTCCTACTCTGAACCACCACAGCAACCAACTTCCTTCACTTCACACACACACACACACGCGCGCGCGCACACACACACATACACGCGCACGCACACACACACACACACACACACACACACACACACACACACACACACACACACACACACACACACACACAGAGAGAGAGAGAGAGAGAGAGAGAGATTTCTTACCCCCCACCCTTATCCCTCCATTAATCGTGTCAAATGTGTTTTCAATTTCTTTGATTTTCTTGTTAATTCTGTGTCTCGGTCTGCCAAGTCCGTTGAGTGGCTTGCCAAGTTGCTCTCCCCTCACCGGCACTTCTATTGACTCATGTCATGGACCAAAGATGCATTTCATCAGAGGGCCGAAATTCCAACTTGATTCCCTGTTTGAACCCAGTGTTGAAGGTTGGGCCAAGCACAAGCGAGTAGAATCATGCAGCTGTAGCGATCATTATCAGTTTCAATCAGAGTAGCCATGTCGCGGCCTGCCAGCCAACTGTTCCATCCGCTGGCACCTACTGGTCAGCTGTTGGTAGGCACCGGCGAAAAAAAAAGAACGAAAACACCTTACTCCCCAAATATTCCCCCATGACCCCTCTCGAGTCTAAACCTCATAACGACCCCCAACACCCCCATAACCGCCCCCAACAGCGCCATACCCCCCTCTCTCCCTGACCGCCATACACCCCCCCGTAGCCCTCTTCCCCCCCCGAAGGTTCTCAGCAGCCCCATACTCCAATGAAAAGAAAAACAGTTGATGGCCCTCTTGCAACCCGTCCGCCTACCTGTAGGCTGCAGAACGGACAACTATCAGAGTTGGCCGTGGACTGCAAAACTACCTTGGTTTCAATTGCCAAGGCGAGCTTTCTACCTTTTTTGGGGACTGCTCCACAGAGTTAGCCACTGATTTGTGTTTTGCTTGCTTTGTCTTTGATGCCTGACTTGTGGCAGGAAATTGAAAGCTGATAAGGTGTCTAAAGATCATCAGTCTGAACGCGGTATGCTCCCCTTTCTGGAATTACCATCGCTAAACTCACCTGTCTCGCTACCATTGTGGTTTTGCAACACTGGTTTTTGTCCAATGTCACCATATCTCGGTTGATTAATTTGCAATGATCTTTGTTCACTTCACTAATTAAAGCAGCATGAATTCATTCATGAAAGTCCAGGACAACATCACATCTACAAGAAAACTGGAGTGTAGAAGACGAAGACGAAGAAGACGAGGACGAAGAAGACCTAGAAGAAGAAGAAGAAGAAGAAGAAGAAGAAGAAGAAGAAAAGAAGAAAAATAAAGAAGACGACGACGACGGCGAAGAAGAAGAAGAAGAAGAAGAAGAAGAAAAAAGACGACGACGGCGACGACGACAACGAAGAAGAAAGAGAAGAAGAAGAAGAAGAAGAAGAAAGATGAAGGACCAAAGTTCGGTTTTGTCAACTTGAATTCTGACTTACATGTAGACCCATACACAGCCCCATCAAGACAAAATCCCCGCCAAGATGATTTCTGAAGATGTAATAGATAGTGGATGCAAATGGAGTTCGTTGTTACGGCTTTGGTTGTAGTGTGGTGGGGTGGGCATACAATTTGGTCATGGTGACTCGCAAAATGTCACGCATGTGTACCCTTCCCTGTAGTAAGTTATGTGCAGTGGATGATGTTTGTTTGTGCAGTGATTCAAAGAAGATGCTGTGAATGTGGCCCTCCTACAAAAGATGTAATCGGTGGCAGCCCATGATAGTGGTTTGGCCATGGATCTGTGCACTGATGTGTCTCGTATACAGCTAACTATTGTATGCATCATGCGCCTGTCTGTTTGTTGCATGCCAATGGCTTGGTCAGAGGCGTGGCATATGGGTGAAATGGGAATCCTACACTGCAATGTGTGTGGTTCAGCATATTTTGGATTTCATGATGAGTCGGGCGCCGTATACGGAGTTCTTGACAGTGTCTTTCTGAAACCATGCAGGCAATACTAGTGATGACAACGTGGTCCGCAGTGGAACGTCAGGAGAGGAGTCAGAGGATCTGCTAAAACGAAGTATGAGAGAAAACCGGGATGGGGTGATCATCAGTGAGGAGGAGGATGGCACCTGGAGTGTACGGGGTGAAAAGCTTATTGCACAGAGAGTCAAGGAGAGAAGCCCATATGACAGCCTCTCAACAAGTGGAGGTGACGATGCAGATTTCTATGGAGAAACAGATAGCGGAGCACCATTTGGCATGCAGGACAGAGAGGTTATGCAGCAGATGATTGAAATGATGAGCAAGAATTCTGACATGGCCCGGTGAGTTGGATATCTTATCAGCTGTGGTTTCAAGTTTCAACAAACTTGTACACAGTGACACTCGTGAAGAGTCTAGGACAATCTTACTATGTCCTTCTCATTTAAGATGGCTTCCATATAAAAAAACTATAAAGTATTGCAGCCATTTTCATGATTTTGTTCTTCTTTTCCTATTTTCAAGTTTGCAACAGCTGGGTTCTTTACCCCTCCTGGTCGTGGTACACATCCTTATGGGCCTCGGGCATTGCACACACACACACACTGACAATTACACACACACACACACACACACACACACACACACACACACACACACACACACACACACACACACACAACGCCGGCTACCAACTCATGTCACTCGACTTTCGAACTGGTTTCGCCGAATGGTTCGCTGGGCAATTGCTCACCGACTCCCGAAAGCTGGTTCAGTGTGCAGGTCCTCCACCCAACCGCACACAAGAGATGTCGCATACCGTAATGGTACAGACCAGAACAAGAACCGACCTCTCTCACAAAGTACAAGATAACACAGCGGAAGGCTTAAATACCAACGATCCGAACAATCAATTTTGCCATGCAGACGAAACATACATCATCATCATTCCATGGTGTGAAGGGGCCTGGCGCTCACACAGGAAGAATGCGTCAGTCCCCAAATATACACAGTCGAAGAAGAGGGGAAGGGAATGTCGTCAACCCCAAGTCTTTGGTACAGTCCCAAATAATCCCTCGTCAAATGTCTGAATCCCAATGTCGAGTCTGGATCCMAATGTCATCAAATCCCAAAGTCACCAATCTCTCTCTCTCTCTCTCTCTCTCTCTCTCTCTCTCTCGCTCTCTCTCTCTCTCTCATAGTCTGCAGATACTGAGAAGTCAGGTAACGAGAGGGTGAGGAAGAGATGGACTTAGAAGAGGAAGAAGAAGAATTCTCTCTCTCTCTCTCACTCCGGTACTAACCTGTGAAGGTGGCACCTTGTTGCAGGTACATCGAAGACGAAGCTGGAGCTATGGCGCCACAGGTAAGTCTCCCTGGCCTCCAACCATCGCTCTCTCTCTCTCCAATGCTACTCTGGCTCCTACTAGCGCCCAGCGCTGGAGACTACTGCTAACGCTACTACTCCTGCAGCGCTCCTCCAGAGTGCTGCTGCCGAATCCTGAAGACTACCTCCTGTCTCCTGCACGTGAAGTGCCTGGGAAGATCCTATGAACTGCCTCGTGACTGCCTGCAGCCTGCAGGGCAGGCCAGTCTTATATAGTGCTGGCCCGTCCAGGAGGCTGCTCTTGCCAATGCCAAAACGTGCCAGTCCCTGGCGTTGAAGTTCAACCAAAGGTCGTCTTGAAAACAGGCCCAAAATGGCCTGTGCTAAAACCGTGGTCTGGTGCCTAAGTTTCAGGGCAGGTCGATCTTATGAGGGCCTGAAAATGGCCCTCCGTTTCAGTCTGAAAAGACTCAGGGCCTGGAGGGCCCTGTTTTAGGCTGAAACGACACAGGGTCTGTAGGCCCTTGTTTTCAGGCTTTCAGGCTGAAACGACACAGGGCCTGTAGGCCCTCGTTAGGCTGAAACGAAATAGGCCCTACACCTATGAACCCTAAGTCTACCTCGTCGGGCTCTGCTGGGCCCGTGCGGTACAGAGTATGCCACATGAGACCACCACTCATCGCCTGACACCAATGCTGACCGCAGCCAGCATCAGCCCTCTGCACAATCAAATGCAGACCGCCTACCCTCCTCTGTTATCCGTGCTGAAATGGCAGACGCTAATGTCGATACGCCAACTCAGCCAGAGATCATGCAAGCCGAATTAAACAATGTGAACGTTACTGAAATGGCAGTAAGGGATGAAGGCCAGCATCCTACCAATACAGCGACTGTTGTTGTTGCTGCTGCTGCTGCTGCTGCTGAAGGTATACCTCCTCCTCCGCCAATGCCGCCACTGCTGCCTCCACCATCACCCCC